CTCAAGGATTGACGTATGTCCCGACCCCAAAAACCCAACCACAAAGATGAAATTATAAAATCCAAGATTACTTTGTTTCGCCTGAATGGGAAACCCAGAAAAATGAGGGTGCTCTCTCTTCAATGTTACAGTTCTTCCTCAATCAAAGCTGATAAAAAAATGGCCTCCTCATTGAACTGAGCGAACAGCTGGTTTGGAGGGGACTTGTGTTTGGAGGCGACGTCTGTTTTGGAGGGGACGTTTTGGAGGGAGAAGAGAGGATTGGAGGGAGAAGAGAGAAGAAGGCCTCGTTCTAATACAACACTTACACTTACAATTGCTTTTCATACAGCCGTTAGATTGGATCCAATGGTGTTCTCATGTTATGTTCTCATATAAGCGTTCTCACTAGATCCCGACCCTCTTTAGCGACGTTAGATGGAATTGGGTGCCTAGGCATTTGAATTGGGCCGCTCATAAGGCAACTACGATTGGAGCTAGAGCGGTGCAACTGGATTGTTGGGCTATAAGGCCACCACCATCTCTTGTGGGTGTTTTGGTTTCCGACGGCCTTCCTTGTCCTCCCGTGGAGGTCTCTGCTCAGTAATTTGATTAGGTTACTTTGGGTGTAGGCTTTATTCTAGGCTCTCTTTTTTATCCTAGTTTGCTTGCATCTTGTTTGTTTTTCTGTTTTGTTGCTTTTGCCGGCGGTCTTTGCGCCTTTTATTGAAGTATTTTCAAACCAAAAAAAAAAAAAAAACTTTAGTAATATACAACCACATCTATCAACTAAACTGTTTAAATCTTGAAATGTGGTGGATGGCCTTGTAAATGTAAGGAACAAGACAAATAACAATAGATTTTTAAGTTCACCAAAACTAGCTCAATAAGCTAAGCAGCAGACAAATTAAATGCATATCACCAGATTTCTTCTCCCCTTCCCCCCACCAATAGACCTTCCTCACCTTCCGCCGCCATCGTCTCTCTTTTCTCCCTTCTCTTCCTCTCTCCCCCATTCGAGCTCCCCTCCCCACTGTTTTTTGAATTACAACAAAAGGGAAGGCAGAGATGAAGTGGGTGGGCCTCTGTTTATTAAAAATGATTTTTTCATTTATTTTAAATTTCATATTTTTTAATAAATAAAATGACCAATTTGCCCTCATATTTAATGAAAATTGATGAAATGTGTTGATTTAGATGGTAGGGGGAAAATTGGCAATAATTAGTTCGTGTACCTAATTTTCCAAAAAAAATAAAATTTGAGAGTGCAAATTAAAAGTAGCGTACAAATCTAGAGGGTAAATCCACAGTTAACTTTTTTTTTATTATATAAATATATTAGTTTGTTAATGTCATGGATTTTTTTCCTATTGGGATTGAATAAATGTAAAAGCTCAGAAAACACTTTTACACAACATGAGATATTATCCGATTCTCTAGCAAGTGATCAAATAATAAATCCAAAAATTGAAGATGTTACGGTGCGTATATATATAGGCACTTAGATTTTATTCAATTTGGTAAGAAAAATATTTCTATATCTTATAATAATTTGTTAATGCAAGTTTTTTTTTTCTTCATAAGATAAGGACTAAATTATGACTCCAACACTAAGAAAGAAAAGCTCGTTCTACAAATTCAGGATGTTATTGTTCCTACGGTGAGTATGTAATAACCCAATCCTAATTAAATTTTTAATTATTAATTTATTCTGAGAAAAGACCATTTTGCCCCTGGAATATTTTATTAGTTTAAAAGTTGACTTTTTGTTCGGGAAGGAATTTGTAAATTCCATTTGAACCATTGCGTAGAGCACGTCGAGACGAGTCCGTAGACACGTAGTGGGCTCAAATCGGAGTCGTAACGAAAAAGATACGATCGAAAAACCCTTAGTGGCATAACTGTAATATTTTTGAAAATGTTTTATTTAGAAAAAAATTAAAAAATCAAAAACTCAGATTCCTTTTCTCTCTCCCTCTCTCTCTCTCTCTCCCCTGTGGCGTGAACCAACCCCCCCCCCCCCCCCC